CTGAGGTTCCCCTGCAGCCCGTGGTGCTGACCATGGTGAGACAGCTGTGTCCCTGCAGCCCATGGAGGTCAATGGAGGTGTAGAGATCCACCTGCAGCCTGTAGAGGAGAGACATGCCAGAGCAGGTGGATGCCCGAAGGAGGCTGTGACCTGTTAAGGTCCTGTTAAGCTTGTGCTATGGGCTAATTACAATAAAAATATGTACACATAATCTTCATCTGTTTTATGAATGCACTGACTTCCTTGCTGAGGAAAAATTGTGTGGGGTCATAACACTAGAAGTAAATGTCATTAAATATTTACAGTTGGTCCCACTATTGGACAAGCTATAGACAAACAGACCTTCAGGTCAGCTGTTGTGTCATCAGTGTAAATGAGTGAACCTCATTTAGTGGGTCATGTGAGCAGGAGAAAATTAGGCTAGTGTTCAGGCAGAGTTAAAGGCCACTTCTATTTCAGTACTGTGGCCCTGCAGGGGTTGTGGCAAATAGCTTCATTCTTGGTGGGGGTATGTTCTAGTTCTGCTCAAACTTGGTTGAGCTGTGATCCAGGAGCCTCTACCTACTATGGAAACAAGATACTGTCAGTCTTGTGATCTGGCAACATTTTACTACTATAGGAAGTCCCAGTTTTCAAGCCAGTATGTTTTTAAGGAGGCCTAAGCTGGAAAAGAAACTCCTGTGAGTAGCGCCTGGTGATTTATCTACTTTCATTTCTGCATCTCCTGAGTTCTTAAAATAACATTTTGTTTGTGATGATTTTGATATCTGGACTGTCTTAACCATTTGCTGTATTAATGCTGCTTTGTGAAGTGGACAAAGTGAGGTTAAAAGAACAGTGTCCTTTGAAAATGCTTTGGATACCACTTAGGTGATGACTGAGCTTTGGCAGGGGCTGCCCAGTGAGGAAATCTGCTCCAGAGCCTTATTGAAGAGCCGTATAATGAAGTGAGGAATTAGGATTTAATGCAGGGGAAATGTGCAATGTGGGTGGGTCATGCAGATGAATTTTGATAGGGTAATGAAAAAGGTTTCTACAGTCACAAAGACTAAAATTGTAGTGGTGGTACTTGCCTGTTAGCAGGCAGGAGAGATGTTAAATCTGATCTAAATCAGTGCTCGTTTTTTCCCCAGATGAAAATGACTACTTAAGAAAGGTTAGAGGATTTATGGGGGTGTCAAAACATATGGCAGATGGGCTGGATTAGGACTCATGAGCATAGTAATCCAAATCCTTTCTGCCAAGCATTACAGAGGATCTCTTCTGCTGCTGGACTGCACTAAATGTACACAGTCAGGTCAGAGGAGCACAGGCTGTCAGGAGGCTCAGAGAAGAGTTACTAGTGAAAGTGCTGGTCTGAGCAGAGTTCATTTTGAAAGCACTTTCTTTGCAGGCAAAAGTCTACTGGGGAACTGTCTATATTATTTAATTTTAATAAATTGCTGGAATGATTTTTATTTTCAAATTGCTTCAATGATTTTCTTCCAAAGCCTGGAAAAAAGTAAAGCCAAAATGTATGCTAAACCTTTCTCATTATCTCTGACTATATCAGCACAGAGGGCTAAAAGCTGTGCAAAAGTCATGAATATTGAGAGAGGAAAAAAGGGAAATGAGTCTTTTTTTTCCTTCTAGGCCAGTGCTGTGTGATATAAAAATAACAAAAAAAAGAAAGAAAAAAAGTCATCCTTTAAATTGTTGTGACATAAGTTTTAAGTGTTAGGGACTGTTTTAATCTTGGTTCTAGACTGAGTCTCCTCTGAAATCTGAAAATTCACAATGGCATGTCAGTGTTACACTGGTTATTGCTAACTGAAGTTAACATGTAGTTAATTAAAAAAAGTTGTAAAGCTACTGACTTTTGAAAAGATCCATGTCTGAAATAGTTTCTGGGGAAGGATGCAAACCATTTGTGGCTGAGGTAACAACAGGATATTTGCGCTTGATTCCTGTAACTAAGCTAAAGAATCCTTCCCCAGTTAACTAGTGCTTCACAGCATGATAAATGTTGGTGTGGAAAACCACCTACTCAGATATCTCTAAGCTCCAGGAGTGAATGCTTCAATATTTCATTCAACAATCATGTAAAATGCTTAAAAATAGTAAAAGAGTTTAGTTAAAGTATGAAACACAATACTGTATATGGATAATTTGTAGTCTTTGTAGAACCAACATGGATGTGAGGATACAGACCTCAGAGATCTTAAATATAAGTTTAAAAGGGAGGCTGCAAATAGTTACTCCAGCAACAAGGATGGATTAGCTCAAAGGTGCAGATTGTTAGCATTTCTAGGTATAGATATGAGAGGCAAACTTTTAATTGTTACTATTTTATGACCTATAGGAAGACCTGAAAGTTTTTAGAAGGTTTCACTATTATCCATGAGGAATGGCATATCTGCCCTAGCATGGTTTTGTCAGAGAACTTTGTAATGTGATCTTTCTCAGCATTTAATTGAAAATTGCAGTGGTTAGGACTTAAGGAAAGTGAGATTTTCTTCCAGTTGATAAGTAAGTATTAACAAAATAAGAAAACAGTCTAATCAGACCATGAAAGCTCACTTCTCATCTGTTAATCAGATTTTATTTCCTTAGTATTTGGGCTATCTTAATTTTTTGAGTGGTATGTAGCCTTCCAGCAAAGACTTGCTCTGAATTTCTAATTCAAACGAAGAAAAATCATCTTTCACTTCCGAGCTTCTTTCTGTCCAAGCAGCCTCTTCTGTCTAAGAGACTCCATAAGAATTTATAAAAGGAAAAAAGTCACATTTAACATTTGAGAGTTGTCTATATGCATGTTTGAAGGAGATAAGTTTGAAAATAATTGAGCCAGAAGGCTGGGCAGAAAAAATTTCATGTAGCAAAATATGACAGGAATGAAAGGACAAGTTGAACCAGGGACATAAGGTTTTACTAAGGGCGTATATGCAAATCCATGAAATCTGAATAATCTTTTTATTCCAAATATAAACTTAGTTGGGAGTTTCAGTGATAACCAGTTTACACAGCTTTATAACATTAAAAGCATTTAAGCAGTTTTGGCAGACATGGATGAAAACGTATGTGCAATGAGTTGCAAAGTATTATCCAGATTACAAATTAAAGTTCTAATAAGCTTTCCAGGGAATGTAGATGAGGGTTTTGATTGATATATTACCAAAACCATGGATTTTTCAAGGTAGAGAGATATACAAAAGCTAATACATCAAACTGGAATTAATATGGCAAATAAAATCTGTGGACCCAGGCTTTATTTCATGTATAATAAGTACCAGTGTTTTTTAGATGTGTCTGATACAAGTGCCTAAATGTTCTCATAATAAATTTGTTTGCTCCCTACTCCATTAGATTCTTCCATATTGCATCAAAATGAAACAAATTAATCTGCCATTTAATATTTTAAACTTCACAAGGAGAAACTCTCTAGAATTTGAAAAGGAATAAATTTCTTCATGATAATTTATAAATGATCATGACTAGACTTAGCATCTTGTTAATAGGACATTAGTAAACTAATGGTAGTAAACTATTAATAATTGACTGAAAATGAAACAGCACAATCATCTGTATTTTGTGATATTTAGGGTTGAGCCCACCCACAAAGGAGAAAAGGGAGCTGTTTTGAGGAAATAAGATAAAACATTCCAATGTGAGGTTCTGCGTCTGAATAACTAAGTAGATATTGAATAACAATGCCAGGAATGTGTAGTATGAGATGGAAAAACCAGTTCTAGTAAAATGAAAAATGATTGACAAATAGTTCCTTCTAATAATGGGGGAAAGATGATCAAAGCACTTACATTGTATCTAGAACTATTTGGTAAATAGGTTCTTTTTTCTTACAAAAGGCGTCTGAGAAATTGAAATATAAAAATGCACATATTTTAGCTTCTAGAGATTCTTTTGCAAAGAGAGAGTAATGTAAACCAGCTTTCATTTAAGGCACCTGTGTAATTGAGAGCAGAACTTACCCAAGAAGCATATCCTGCTGGAAAATGTGGAGTTATTCCATAAATAAGTGGATGTTCTTCAAGTTGCTAGCATGATGACATGGATAGGTGCTCTCATCTGCATGATTCACATAATATTATTTAGATGTGTATGAAAATGTGAAAAGTTTTAAAGCACTTATTTAATATAGTGCACTTGAAGAAAAACACACAATGTATTGTTTGGCTATGAGATCACAGAAATGTTAGGGTTGGACAGGACAGATCATCAAGTTCAACCCCCCTGCCGAGGCAGGGTCCCCTACAACAGGTTGTAAAGGAACATGTCTAGGTGGGTTTTGAATGTCTCTAGAGGGGGGAGACTCCATGACCTTTCTGGGCAGCTTCTTCCAATGCTCTGCCACCCTCAATAACTTCCTCATGTTGAAGTTAAATTTTCTGTGTTTTATTCGAAATAAAGTGCGACTTTCAGTAGTAGGTAGATCTGAAGGCTCCAAACGATCACTGTAGTCAATAGGCAGGAGGTAGGAGACCTAAATATGGAGTCCTCATCTGTTTTCCTCTCTTACCTTCTTGGAAACTTTAATCAGTTCTCTGGTGAAATGCCTTAGGAGAGACTTTCATTAGGGAAAATGGAAATGGAACTTTAAAGCTAGTTAAGGCAATCTGGTGTTTTAGTCACAGCCAGGAACAAAGAAAGGATTTTGGAGGTTATATAGGAACTATTGTAAGATTTAATAAATTCCTCTAAAATAAAGAGTTTTCAAAAGGTTGCACAATTAAATCTTAAGCAAGGACTGACAGCCCTCAGATGTCTGAAGGTTTGACTCAGCTTAAGGCTGATACAGTTTAAATGAAAGAGCCAGTTCTTTTAGTCTGTGGTCAACAGCATACCCCAGCATTTCGTGATCCAAATGTCAGAGAGTAAGATCTATTGTACTTGTTTCTATTACTGAAAAAAGTTGTATCAGATAATTTCTTGATTCATTTTGTGTATAATTTACACAACTAAGTATGCTGTGTTGATTTATGCTATTTTTTTTCTTTTTTCAGAGAAAGAATTTGAGCCTGTTCTTCAGCATTGGTTTATTGACCTCCTGGGGCACTGCACTGCTGGGAGTTCGCTTATACTGGATGGGCAACAAGCCCCCAAGTTTTTCCAACTCTGACAATCCAGCAGCTGACTCAGACAGTTTTCTCACACGTACGCTGACCTTCTTTTACTTGCCAACCAAGAACCTCTGGCTGTTGCTGTGCCCAGATACCCTCAGCTTTGACTGGTCTATGGATGCTGTGCCTCTTCTAAAAGCAGTCAGTGACTGGAGGAATCTACACACTGTGGCCTTCTATGCTGGGCTCCTCCTCCTTGCCTACTTTAGCCTGAAGGGCTCCAGCAATGAGAGAGAATGCAATGGGAGAACTGTAATGAACGGCAAGCAAAATGCTAATGGGCATAGCTGCCACTCAGAAATGGAGTACAAGACACTGGAGGTGAAGTCAAGCTTTGTATCAAAAGAAGAGAATGGCATAAAAAAGCATGAAATTAAGAAACTGCAGCTTCCTTCAACTGAGAACATTGTCATTCTGTCTCTCTCTTTGTTAATAGTGCCCTTTGTTCCTGCCACAAACCTATTTTTCTATGTTGGCTTTGTAATAGCAGAGCGTGTGCTGTATGTTCCTAGTATGGGCTTCTGCCTGCTGGTTACAGTAGGTGTCAGGGCCCTTTATGTCAAAGCCCAAAAGCGCTTTTTGAAGAACTTGGTTTTTTGTTCCACTGCTGCATTAATTATTTTCTATGGACTCAAGACTGTTGTCAGGAATGGGGACTGGCAGAATGAGGAGATGCTGTATAGGTCAGGGATAAAAGTAAACCCTGCTAAAGGTAATTTTTGCTCTTTATGGTGAATGCTTTACTTATTCCAATCTGTCTCTGCATTTGAATTGTCTGATTTTATCAGCTATATCTAAAGAGTATACTTTAAGAAATGTCCTTTCAAATTGCGGTAGTATGTGCATTAGTAAAAAATTAAGAAAAGCAGGAATGTCTTTTGATTAGGTGTTACAAGTTTGTCATTAACATGGAGAAAATGAGACCCTAAGGTAAGAGGATACTTTCTTTTTCACTTATATTAGTTCTGTATTTTGAAATTAAAGCTGCATTATGAGTTTTACAGAACCCACCCTGGTAGTTTTCCATTTGGAATGTGGTGTCTATCATGCTAATGAAGATTTTTCATATGTTCACCAAGTGTTCTGTTTTCTTTAACTAGAAAATACAAGAAACAGTAAAGGACAGCATCAGGGAAGTGCTGTTTCTTTATTTCATCTGATGCAAATAATGTCAATACTACATAATAAAAATGAGGAAATGAGGTCATATAATTCAGCCTAGGAAATGACTGTAGTTCCCCCTGCATACAAGTACTGTAAAGAGTTATTGTCAAATACTTGAGCCTTCCTGTTAATGTATAAATGTCAGCTATTCGTAACATTACCCAACCACGTCTCTCAAAGGTTGTATCTCCGTGGTAATGAAATGTGACCGCAGCTGATGTAAACACATCCAAACAGGCAGTAAACCTGCTAGTTTAGGGATCAGTAACAATGTTTAGCTGTGGCTCTGTGGTTTCAGCATATACGGCAGATCCAGCTGGGAACCTGAACTCCATGCTGCCTGGCTGTACTGCTCTTGGCACACGAGCAAGTTTATATGAGAATGGTCAAAATACCACCTGTGAGTGCAATGTAGATATTGACTAAGCCTTCCTTATTCACAAATTGTCAGAAGTGAAAAGGGATCAGTTGACTGCTTTGCCTGTCTGTGAAAGAAAAATTTGACAGTGCTTCAACAATTGGGTTTTTTCAGTCCTCTGCTCAGAACCCATTGTATGACTCAAAGTCATCTGCTTATACAGTTGTGCTTCTTTATTAGACAGTTATATACGCCATAGTTTAAAAAATGTAAGGGTAAGAGGAAAATGCAGGTGTTTACTGTGAGCTAATAGGGAATGAAAAGATCAGATTTGGCAGATAATATGCCTTACAGGAGTTTGTCAATCTGATTTTGTAACACTTCTTCGTATCCTTTCTCACCCTAGGAAAATTATTAAATTTGTTGCTGCAATCAGTGACTTTTGTTAATTGTGAACAAGCACATCCCCTTTATTTTACTTTTTTTTCCAAAACTAGCAGAGGAGAGAAAGAAATGAAGCATATGAAAAGCAAGACAACAGACCAGAGCAGTTATAGAAGGCTCTGAGACTTACCAGTTTAGTGACAATATAAAGCTTGTATTAAAACACTGGCATTCCTTGGAAAGAAAATAGTGTGTATGCAACTAATTAGTTAATGTGTGTTCCATTTTTTCTCTTGGTGGAGATCCCCAGATATTAATAGTTGTCTTCTTGCATAGAGCCAAATTTTATGATTAAAAAAAAAAAAAAAAAGCAGTGAGTTTTTGTCCAATAGTGGTATTGACTGCAGCATTGTCTGGAAATTAGACTACTGGCTATTATGCTCCCAGGAGACAAAATGAGCTATTTTCATCATACAAATCTCAGTATGCACAGACTTGTGTATATATGATCATCTGATTTCTTGCCATATAAACTGACATTAAGTGTCTTATAAGATATGCAAAAGCAAAGACACCATGTCAGTGTGATGATATAGACATGACTGAGCTGACTTTAAATCTCCTTAAAATACTTTATTAATCTTCTGCTGAATATTTACTAGCCCACACACATTGTAACAAAGCTGGGTATAAGACACTCCCAGCTAAAGAGACCTGTCACCAAACTCTATTCATTATTGTGAATACTTCTAAGATTATCCCTGGCTTTGACTATGCTAATTTTATTTTCCGTTTCTCATACAATCAGGCAAGTCTGACTGGACTAGACTGACTGCCAATCCTGCCAAAGCATTAGGAG